GCAGGTAAATTGCCTGCATCTGTAGGACGCCAGGTAAGCGTAGCGCACGCTTGCCTTGCCGAGGGAAGCTGAGAGACCTCTCACCGAAGACCTTGGAATGAGCGGAGGGCTAAGTCAGAAAGAGTCTTCCTGGCCAAATCCCCAAGTCGATTCGATGCCTTCTATCTTTGCGGAGTCTGCTTCATTTAGCCGCCGATGCCAGCCATGCCCTGACACGTGCTCTCGGCCCACAAAGTTGGCCGTGAGCAGACAGCAGCGGTCCAACTACGAAAGTCAGCGGCGTACACTTTGCACCCCCTGGCCACTCTCCATCGCTGGCGCCAGTCGGTCTGGGAGAACTTGAGATGAGCACGATGGTGTCAGCACTCCAGGTTTACTCAAGCGGCAGCTACCGGGATGAAAACCGACAGGCAGCCGAATGGTTACCGTAGACCTTGCAGCAGTCCATCTGCGCCTGCGGCACCTGCTCCAACCATCCAGAGCCCAACAGTCTACTCCTAGTTTATGGTTGGGTAGTATTAAAAATGTAAATTTATATTCCTTATTGGGTTTAAGTACCCTTAAAAATGTAAAATGTTGCCCAACTATGACAAAGTACTCTGCGGACCTGCGGATCGCAAGATCTTGGCTTGCAAACAGCATTGAAGCATGGTCCCTCCAATGGATGCAACCATCCTCCCAACTGTAGTAGGTACGAGTCTTCCTCAAGCGAAAGCTTGGAGCCGCCACCACCACAAGAAACTTTGGTCAAGCAGCTGGTGCGAACATCTTTGGTTGAAAAGCTGACGCCAGGCAGCCAAGCAGTTAGCGGAACGAGCTGATGCTGGACTTCACGACGGGGAAGGTGGGCCCGCAATGCTCACGCAAGCCATTCAAAGATCAGGCAGAGGTGCAGACGCAGGTCTTGTTGATAGAAACACAATCATGAAATAGCTAACTTCCTTTGAAGCATGGCTCCTGCAAGTGGCAGTGCAAGCCTTCCAGCAGCCTGCAGCTCTCCCAAGAAACAATCGTGGGAACTCACGGCATAGCCTGGGTCGGAAGACTCTGGGGTCTAGGGTGTAGGGTTGAGGACTTTGCGCTTGCATGCAGTGTCCCAATTAAAGAAAGGCCTTCAAATTCTCAAGGTTGCTTACTTTGGACCCATGTCCGCATGCCGCGCAAGAACGAAGTCTGTAAAGTTGTAACGGAGCCGGGGTCGTCAGCTACCGTGATTGTGGGCACCCTCATTCGTGCTTATCCCCCTAATCGTAGCCTGTTTAATCCCTTCAATCCGCCTGAAGGAGTTCGCAGTATGGCTTATTTGTGCCGAGGTGCACGCACCGCACCGGCCGGAGACTGCACCACTACCAGTGACCATTGCTTGCTTAGACTCGAAAGATGTTATAGAAGGCACTATGTAGGGTTCCGGATATAGGGTGTAGTACTGGGAATCGAAAGAGTGAAGATCTACGTCTAGCTGCCAGTTTCTAGGACCACTCAAACTGAAAACAGCTTACTGCACCCTAAACCATGAACTCTATTTGTTATGCGCTGTGGTTTGGGTCCAGCTGAAACGAGTAAGCATGGGCCTGCGGCATGCGCACTTCAGCCAGTGACAATCCCGTCGCTTTGTATCCGGTGCCTGCAAAAAACAAGGTCCAGCAACATGCTGAATCTAATCTTGCCTACCTTCGCGGCCTTCGCGCAGGTGCGCGTCATTTCGGGTGCGTGACGTTTGCTGCTCACGCAGCGGCTGAAGTGCAATGATTTTTTTTGTGTCGCAATCTATCGGTTGGGGCTGACGGATTTGGGGTTCAGGGCTTTGCGTCCAGGGCTTTGCTGTTTTAGCCTGCAGCACGCAACAAGTTTCGACGCTGGCCTCTTCTGAACTTCTGGAGCAAGTCCCAACGCCTCTTCGGTCGGGCTCCGCAGCTAATCTCTCATGAGGACTCGCGTGAAACTGCGAGATGACAGATACTGAGGTCGTTTCATTCGATAACAAAGATAACATTTACGAAGTCTCTTTAAAGGTCTAAATCGCGAATGATCGTGGACAACAAGCTCAAAGGCACAAACTCGATGTGCAAATCCTGCATTTCTGTCATCCCACTTTATCGAGTTAGGACATGTGGCTCCAGGTGCACTATCTATCACTTGAGTACATCGCCATAGTAAGCCTGACAGCGGGCAGGCACAAAAGATAGACCAGCATCATTCCAGGCTCACGTCATACAAGTAGATTTATATCCTCGACCATAACACGTGACAAACCGTAGAACCTGAAACCTGGAGCTCTGTACCCTTTCCCCATGCAGACTAATGTTACATCAGCCAATGCGTCGAACAAACACTGCAGTCTTGGGGGGTGCTTCGAAGTTACCTGGCCACAACAACAACAACAACAACAACAACAACAAGGAAGCACGTGCGTTTGCCGCCGCGCGGGGTGTGTCTTTTGTCTTGGGGACGTTTTTTGTGTAAAAACGCAAATTCGTCGATATTTGTGTGGTTTTCGTGAACAGGAGGTTGTTCGGGAGCCTGTATTTGTCCAAGTTCTTTGT